CCCCCAATCCTAGTTTCTCACAGAGCTCAACACTGATGTCTATGGTCTAGCGTTTAGGCGATTCGCGGTTGCTTGCAGGGGACCCAAGTTTGATTTTCCTGTGAGGAGGACTTTTATCGAGTATCTCAGTTTTTCTGCTTAGATGTTGCATCCCTCTCAGCCCGGGTTGACCCTGACAAACAGGGTCGTGGCCTACCTTCTAACTTATCCAAATTTGTCGATTGGGTATTTTAAGAAAACACCTACTTTTAAAAAAGAGCACTCAATCTGACGTAACGGTTGAGTTAATCAAGGTGGATAGACAGATAGATAGATAGATAGATAGATAGATAGATAGATAGATAGATAGATAGATAGATAGATAGATAGATAGAATATAGATCATAAATATATGAGTCTGGGAGCATATTAGAAGCCCATAATAACTGATGGGTTTATGCCATGCTTGAATTAGAGGGCTAGTTTATTATCTCTTATCCATTCCAAGAGAAAAACGACAAGACTTCACAACCTAATTGTATTTCGATGCGGTGGTATCAAATGCTTGTCAGTTTTTTTGTCAAACGGAGTAATTAGTATCATCTTAAAGCTTGTTCATGTGTTTTGCTTCTGTTTAAAAAAATATAAACCCATCTACATGTACTTTGAACAGAAGTAGACATATTTCAGATTGAAGGAGGTGGGGGTCACCAGGTAGCAGAGGTGAAATAGGGAGAAAATGGCCTCCAAAGTTGGGTCACTTCCAAAGCTTGAGTGTCCTTGAAAACTGCAAGTTTATAATTTCTATGCCTTTGATCAATGTGTATCAGTAAGGTCTACATAGAGGAATGTGTCTGCAATAGACATAAAAGGTGTTGAAGCCAAAAATAGAAAATTGGAGACAAAAAACTGCCCATCGGCCAGATAAAAAGCCGGTTTCTTTAATTAATTCCATTATTTTGGCGAGCGCTTGATTTCATCACGATGTCTCACAGTTGATATGTTCATGTCTTCACATTCTGTGATGACACTACTTTCTACTAGACAGAGCACAAAACCAAAATAACTTATCTTCTAATCAAACCCGTCTGCTTAATCTTTGAATGAGTGCACCCTACAAAGAAAAACAGTTAATAGATTTGATAAAGGTATATCAAAAATATATCAAGGGAGTTCCTTCCAGTTGATGACTGTGTTGGCCTTAGGAATCCTATCCTATGCCATCAGCAATAAGGTTTGTGGAAACCAAATTATTGGATAGTTATAAAAGATGTCAAATTAAATTTGAGATAAAATTAGTTCTCACATATTGAGTCTCTTGTAAGTCATAGCTGTCGCAGTTCGTCAATGATCTCGAGGCCCTTCATTGAACGTCAGAGCATGTACAAAAAGGTCCAAAACCATGCGGTCTCCCGGTTTAAAAAAAGAAGCAGTACTGTTGTTTTGTGTATGTTACAGGTAAACATGTAGAAATAAATGTGTCATCGTGGTGAAATCAACCACTGTCAAAAATGATGAAATCAAAGAAAACGACTCCTGTAGGGTAATTTACATCATTTTTCTTTCCTTTGTTTTTTTGGCTTAACACATTTTATGTCAATTTAAAAACACATTGCTGTGTGGATTTTATTGAAAAACGTTGATCAGCAACACACACACACACACACACACACACACACACACACACACACACACAAACACACGCGCACGCACACACACACACACACACACACACACACATACATACATAGATACACACACACACACACACACAAATAACCCCATAAATTCGCAGTCACTAAAGTTTGGCGGACATTTTCTAGCTGACTTTTCCTCTGACATCTGTCGACTTCAATCGCAAATATCTCTGCTTTTTATTTAAAATTAATGGCAGTCATTTTTTTCATCAAAAGCAAGAAAAAATAAACAAGCTTTAAGATTTCATCAAGAACTCTATATGCACAAAAGTTGACGGGCACCCGATTCCGTTGTGTTGTGTGACACAGATCTATGAGACATCGTGGTAAAAGTAGGCGCTTGTCAAAACAATGAAATCGAAGAAACCGGCATATTTCTGAACGTTCGGCTATTTTAATGGAATTATATTTTATCACTCAATGCCTTTAAGATCCAATGAAAAATATATTTATGTGTGGAATTTATTTTTGAAAAAAGTTCATTTAAGGCACACACAAAGAAATAAGTTTGCATTTTCCAAGGACTCCTAAGTTTTGGAAGTCAATACACTTTGGCGGCTATTTTCTTGCTAATTTTCCCTCTAAAACCAGGCTACCCCCTCCACTTTCCAATGGAAAAACATCGACTCCAACACAAGATAGATGTCTACTTTTTCATCAAAGTCAAGATAAATATCAAGCTTTAGGCTGATACCAATAACTTCACATGTCCAAAAATTGAGGAGCTCCTGATTCCACTGCTTCATGACAGATAATATGCTCTCGTAATAGAAAAAGCCATTGTGTATAACCTGTAAGTGTGAGAGAAAGTCTGCGTCCCTCCTTGAGTTGCAACTGAAAATGGAATGGGTCCCAAGAAGGTGCCGTCGCCATAATCAACGAGAATTTGGGCGTCCGTGGGCATGATTGCTCCGTTGTAAGTCAGCTCGAACTGGCTGGGGGCTGAAAAAGTTAATGGTTGATGGTCATATGTCTGAGTCTCTCCTTTGAGTAAAGAGAAGCCTGTCGACTCCATAACAGCCATTCAAAGGGGAAAAAAAGGGTAGACGGAAAAAAACAGAGCAAGAGGAGAGAGAGAGAGAGAGAGAGAGAGAGAGAGAGAGAGAAAGAGAGAAAGAAGGGGAGAGAGGGGTGAGGGGGGAAAAAGAGAGAGAGAGAGAGAGAGAGAGAGTGAGAGAGAGAGAGGAGCAGAGTAAGAGAGAGAGAAAGAGAGAGAGAAAGAGAGAAAGAAGGGGAGAGAGGGGTGAGGGGGGGGGGAAAAAAGAGAGAGAGAGAGAGAGAGAGAGAGAGAGAGAGAGAGAGAGAGGAGCAGAGTAAGAGAGAGAGAGAGAGAGAGAGAGAGAGAGAGAGAGAGAGAGAGAGAGAGA